TTAACAGATCACGTGAGTCTGAGTATATATCTGGTGACATGTCTCTGATTCCCAGGGCATGCCTTCCATGCATTGATTTATGCCTTTATGTGTAAATACCCATTTCCCTGAAATGTCTAAAACCAAATTGTAACCCAGCCACCCCAAGGCCACTTGCTCAAGGCTTCTTGGGTGTGGCTCTCCTGGTAAGGCTCAGAAGAAACCTCTAAATTATTTTACACAGTTTGAGTTCTTTTCTGTAACAATGGCAAAAGACACTGTTTTCTAAACTATGGTCAAAGCTTCAAAGATTAGCTGTGTTAGCAGGGAGCAGAAGATGAGACCAAATGTGAATTCGTGGTTAATCTCTTTAGGGTTATAATAATTCTCAACTTTTTTCATTGTCTTGAGACATTTTTGCTCATACAGTAGTGATTCAGCATGATAAAGGTTATTTGGTTATCAATCAGTTTTCTCCTAGTGATTTCATAGGCAAATCACCTTAAAAGTAAGCATAACTTTTTAGACTTTTTTCCAAATAAATAATAATTTTGTTGTTGTTTAGAGTTCAGGGCTATCTTTTGAATTTTATGAGATAGTTTACCAGGATGTCCTAAATACATATACATAAACTTACATGCTTTCATAGAGGTCTATATAAAATTGTTATAAACTCCATCTTTAAACGTTTTTCTTAATGTCCTTTAACTTCAGGGATGAAATTTCTTAGAAACTTATACCTATTAAGAAAAATATCTAAAAATTGGAAGTGGACAAAAGGGATGACTGCATACTTTTCCAAGTCATATTGGAACATTGTCTAATAGGCCCACAGGAGGATTCCTAAAATCTATAGGGGAATATACTGATGTACTTTTGATCGATGCCCTGTTTACTATTGATTAGGCACTAGACATTCTGAAATGACATATTAATTTGCAAATTATTGGCTAGCACAGATGCAAATGATTTCGGTCCACTAGAAAAGATTATCCTAAGGTTACAGTTTTATTACTGCCTTACACAGAATATTAATATATGTTCTTAATAACTTAACAAGCATTTTTCAGCATATCACTGCCAACTAACTATATGTACATCTGCTTCTCAAATGATCTTTGAATTATTATTATTATTTTTTTTCTATTTTTGGCTGGGGCTGGGTTTGAACCCACCACCTCCAGCATATGGGGCTGGTGCCCTACTCCTTTGTGCCACAGGTGCCACCCGATCTTTGAATTATTTTAATGGCTCCCTCACTAATGGGTTGAACACATCTTTGACATATTACTCAATCTAAATTTTTTTTTTTTTTCAGTTT